GAATGACTGGTTTATGAAGAATGGATTTTATTTATCAATGCAGATATTTTTCTTTTCTCCTCTCCCACTCTCTTTTTCTGTTGTAATTTTTCATCACCAAAGATAATGTTGTAGTCCACACAATATTGGTGTAATCTTTTATGTCTATAAATATTTGGTATGCAAAATTTTCATATTTAAAACAACCAAATATTGTAGGCATAAAAACTTAGTTTACTCTTGCCTTAAAGTGCAACAAAAAAAACTCTCTAGTGAATTATGGTTTGGTCCTTCTGAACCATTAACAACCAGATTTATATATAAAAAAGATTTTGGTTTCTTTCAGTCTCAAAAAAAAAAAGAAAGTCTTGTTAAACTACCTGCCTTTGTGGTAATTGATTTGCAATGGTGATTGCTACTGATCATCATAAATTTCAACAATCCTTACCAATTGACAGCTTTGCATATAAATGGCTGTTTTCATTGTCTTGCACTTTTTGCATGTGTTGTCGTCATTGTTGTTGTTGTCACAAATTGTCTTTTGGCATTGCCGCTTCAGTGCATTGTGCAATGGACAGAATCTATATCGTTTGCTGCATTGATAGTTTTTGATGTTATTTTCTGCATTTCAGTTCTCTTATGATTGCCAAAGTTATTTGCTGTTGATGCTACTATCATTGTTGTTCAACACCTGCCTTTCACTGATACCTTTTCAGATTTTGCTTATAAAGAAATTATTGCACAAACTCACATTCTCTCATAATTATGGAGGAAAAACACTGAGTTGACTGTGTTATTTAGTATTACCTTAGTCAATATTACAAATTTTTAAGAGTTCACATGATCTTGGTTGTTTCTTTACTTAATTGAGTGCTTATATTAAAAGATGTCAGTTCCTCAAGAATTAATCATTTCTATGAAAATTTGGAAACTAACCAGCAACTTTCAACCAATGATGATTTATGGTAAAGACTCTTGTTTTAAATCATACCCTTAGCAATAAGTCTGTATTACTAACACGTATGTATTTTTTTTTTTTTTTTAAATTAATCACGATCACACCCCCAAGTAAGGGCACAACCAGTTACTGGGTGTGGTAGTAATAAAAAATGGAAACATTAATAAAGAACAAGAACAAAAGTAATCAGGAAGATATTAGATATCAATTGACATTGCATGAAAATTTTTGAAGATTAAAGTTGACTGGAAAGCATGGACACAGAAGGGAGTTCCACAAGTGAGAAAAGAAACTGTTAGCATAGAATTTACGGTTACGTCTAACCAAATCGACTGTAAATTAAGATCTCAACACCAGTCTAGTATTGCACTTAAAGGTTTCATAGCAAAGATCTTTATATAAATGCTACAGGGAGGTAACTTTATGGTGATGGGAAAAGTGACTGAAACCAAGACACAAGATCAGGACCAATAATATTGCTGATCCTTCTTTGGATTTTATCATTTTTTCTATAGACATATGTCAGAAGCACCAGACCATATGTGGCAGCAATATTCTAAGCAAGGACGAATGGTAGACCTTTTATGCTGATATACAAAATATGTAAGATAGATTCTGGAGAGGAAAATTGTCTGGCACGACACAGTGAACCAAATTTCTTAGCAGTTGATCTAGCAATGGATTCAATATAGTCTTTCAACTTCATGTCAGCCAAGAACGTTAACCCAAGAAGGCGCAATGAGTCCCTTTCCTAAAGGGTAGCATTAGCCATGCTGATGGAAGTCGGAAAGGTGTCTCTCAGATGATTAAGAGAGCAAATTAGTTTGAGAGGCATTGTATATCATTGTATAATAATAATTTCTAAGAAGATAATATGTTGCTAACATTAGATTATTTGTTTTAAATCTATTACAATGTCAGAAAGACTACATCAACTTTGTAAAAAGACAACTTGATCACAGTAAAATCATTGCTGATAAGTTTTATCCTTTTTCTGTTGTTTAAAAAACGATTGTTTAGTTTGAATTTTATCTCAGAATTATGTTTTGAAATAGATATGTTTGCTTTCTTCTACTTTTTCAAGAAACTTTCAACAACTGTATGGGGTTTCATACAGAATTATCTTCCTTGTAGGTGACATGGACATAAAATCTTCCAACTCTAAATTTGATGTCGGATTACAAATCAAATTACAAATGCTTTGTTTTAGTTTCTGAAGAGCCAAGATTTAACAATAATGAAATTGTTTTTAATAAAATAACTTGTTCGCCAGTCAAGAAAGCTGCTTGAAATGATAATCATGGATAGATGTTCAAATGAAGATGCAACAAAACATTTGCCAATAAGTGGAGTTTTGATAGAAAGCTCACTGGAATGGAAACACTAGATTCACTTTAGATGTTCTTTTATGCTCTCTAAGCTGGTCAGTGCCATAATTCTAGTTATGGCATTAAATTCTCAAATTCTATTACAGGCAGAAATGTTACTGGCTTTCTTTGGACATGTAAGAAGATTATTTCTTAGAACTTTCTTCATGTGCCAATTTGAATTCTCACTAAACAAGCATCCTGGCAGCAAATTACTAGAGAAATTTTTTGACCAGGATTTTCTTTGCTTACTGCTCCATTCTCACTGATGAAGATGGGTAAAAAAAAATCATTGAAGCCACTATTGAATTTAGAAGAAAAGTGTTTATTTTTATTTGTATACTAGTATATCTGTCACTTTTTATCATTTAACCCAGATCATGATTTCACAATTGTTAGTAAGTAGAGGGGGATGAGAAATAAAGAATAAGTCTCTGGTATGACTTAAACTTCTGAGAGATGCAAGTTTATCTTAATGTGACATCTGCTTTACTGATTGGGTTACAAAGGTCACTGGTTGCAATCACTTAAATCTAATTATGTAGCCATATTATTTCCCCCCCCCTGACTGCCTGATATAGTGCCATAGTAGTAGTAATTTGTGGATTTTGTAAATGAAGATTTGTCACTTATTGTTTTTACTATTATTTATTTCATCTTAATTTCAGTTGCTATTTATTATAACTCAATCATTTTACAGTCATCAATAAGCAGCATAAGAATTACAATAAATAGTAATTGATGTTAAGATGAAACATTAAAAAACATCAATGAAAAAAGAGACCCCCCCCCATCTAAGAAATTTGAAAAATGTAAGTAGACACTTCATTAATGACCTTCTGTTTCCCTATTTAGCAAAAAGGTTTTAAAACAAGCAAAGCAGGATTTTTTATTTAAATGTATAAAATATTGATGAAAAAAACCTGTTAAATTTAAATTTAATATCTACAGACATCTCTTGACACTGTCACTCAGCATTTCTTCTTCATACTTTATTCTTCATTGCTTTTGGTTGTTTAATTGTCCTTTTCTCAAAATGTTGAACTTTTCTTCTTTTATTTATTTTATTTTTTTTTTCTTCTCTCAATTTAAAAAAATTTATCTGCAAGGATTGTCACTTGGGGGGACTGGTATGCAATCTTTCCCTTCACAATAATATTGACTTTGTCTTACAGAAGATGACAAGCATTTTAAATTTGTCACTTTTCACAAGTGTCTAAAAATTACTCTGATTTTAAATCTAATGTTTTATTTATTAACTCCATTTAAAATTATCTTAATTTTTTCTGCCAGTTGTTTTTATTTTATCAATCTTGTCTGTGTACAGAATGGCATTTCTTTAATATAAACACATGATTTTCCAATTTAATTTCTGATTCCATTTAATAATTTTCTTTTGTAGATAAACTCATAGAAATAAGAAACTGATAAATCTAAAATTGATAACTTCAATATAAAAGGGTACCGTAAATCCCCCCCCCCCAAAAAAAAAGCAAATCTGATCTGGCCACTATCAGATTTTTGGGAGGGGACTGAGCTGAGAAGTTTACACTCTCTCATACTTCAGTTTTATAGATGTCATCCTTTACAAAATGTAAATTTTGTATGATATCACTTTTGGTTAATTTATTCTTGTCTGATTAGTTAAGAAATGCAAAAATTACTGACTAGTTTAAAATACAAGTATTAGTCCAGTTGTTGTTGAAATGAGAGTTTCATGCAAAAAAAAGACTAATCAAGAAGGACTGATATACAATGAAAAACATCTCATTATGACTTCATACAACTTGAATTCTCGCTTTTGTTTTCAGACTCGTTGACTAATTGATTTGAAAATTTATTAGCGAGTTTGTAAGGTAACAGCTTAAGATACTAAAGAGTAGATTTACTACCAAGCTGAGAAAAGACTTCAATTGCATTTTCAAAATGATTCTGAGTAGAATAGAAGCAAGTGACCCTTACTAACTAAGATTGTGAACCATAACCATTCAGCTGCCACTCATTTGACTTAATGGCAAATACTTGATGCTACTTTGGTATTTTCACACTAGACTTAATTAAGACCTGAAAAAAAATGCCTAAAAATAACTCTGTATTCCATTTGATTTAACAAAGTTAAGTTCTGTCTTGTTCTTTACCATTTGAGAATTCCTGATGGAAAGGGTTGAGTGAAAACAAACCCTCTTGGTAATACATTGTTTATGAAATATTTTTTCTTTTGTTCATCCTAATCTCTGAAGCCTTTGCAGGGAATATTTTTAGGAAATATAAATAAGAGAAATCCCTCAAATAATACAAATGATGATCCCCCACCTCTTAGAAAATAGACAAGTTCTTAGAAATAAATGTTTGTTTCTTTGTTCCATTCAACTTCTCACCTCCCATGAGTTGGTCAGAGATGTCCACAATAATAATATTATCATTATTTAAGTTTAAAATGTCTTGTTTCCTAGTGAAAAACATAAATTTTTAAATTACTTACATAATATTCCATCAAATGCATTTGGTGGGCATACTTTTGAGCTTACAATGAAAGGTTTCCAAAATTCCTAACATTAACTTCCTCGTTTGTTCAAGCACTTACTATGTCAAATACATCTTAATCTCTCTTGGATCTGTTTTTTTCCTCCTTTCTCCTTTTTGTTTTAAATTCTTTTGGTTATTGTCTCTAAAAGATGGTTGTTTTATTTTTGCAGGCATCAGTGGGAACGGTGAGTGGTCACAGTCGTGATGATTCTGTCTCCACCATCCTAAACCCTCATCGGGGATCTATTATTCATTCAAACCCAGCCACCCATGAACGCTGCCACTCTTCAATATCTGTCTCTTCAACACGGCCCAACAATCCCAAGAGAATTACAGAAACGGCCACTCTTAGCCGAAGCAGCAGCAGCAACAACAACAGCAACAAGCTCAACCCTAGCCCCCACATTAATTTCAGACCAACAGTTCCAGAGGGAACAGAGGTGTAACAACCAATTTGAGTTTTTATTTTTATTTATTTAATTTTTTTTTTTAAATTTTATTTTAAGTACCACCTCCTCCTTCAAAATCTGCAACATAAATAAATTTCAAAAGGGAGTATGAACTCAAATCTAATGATGGTCATATATAAAGTCCCATCATGCATTGCACACTTTTATCAGTCATCTAATATGGTCCACAACAAGTGGAAGGAGAAGAAAAAAAAAAAAAAAGCAATTGTTGGGGGGCAAGGAACTTTTGACTCTCTCATGTATTCTCTCCCTGTTGTGTGTCGTCCATAGGTGAAATAAATAAAAAAAAAAATCTGTACAAATAAAATTTAGATAGGAAATGAGAACATTAACATCACTTTCAATGGAGTGAATGAAACTTTTTAACAAAACTGTAACTCTTACATATGAAAGAAAGGAAAACCTGAAACAAATTTGAACTGTGAACATATCTTTGAGCTACAGTTTGTGGCTGGTTGACTCTGAGAGGAGTACCATGTCCAGAAGAAGGACACTGGCTTATTAGAAATCTGTTATTATAATTACTTCCACTACTGCTGGTGTTGGAGTTGGGAGGCAATATAACTATTAGCCACCACAACTTACAACATTTCTCCGACTGTTACTGCATAGGGTTTGCCCATTAATTTTATCACACTATCATGTATATTAGGCACTTAATCTGATAGTGAACAATTGTCAGCAATGTCACAGGTTTCTCTCTATTCTCTACTTTGTTTAATGTCTTTTCTATTTCTCTCTGAAAGTAAACTTAAATTTTCATTGTTGACAAACAAAAACAAATGAATCCCCTTCTAACTCCTCCTATTCTAACCTAATTTTTTAATTTTATTTTGTGGCCTTTTTTGAAAATGTCACCAGGACTTTTTATTATTTTTACCTATTCCTCATTTGTAAACCTTTTTTTTTTTTTTTCAACTTTATTTTTATTTCCTTGTGAGGAACCCACCCCACAACTCAGCTGGCTGAGGGATTTAATAAATATTATCTTTCTGGTTTCAAGAACTTTCATCCCTTTTACTATTTTTGTTTTATTTTTCTTATATATCCATCCCTAGAAAAAAAAGGGATCAAATTGACTTTGCAATTTTGCTGCTTTTTTTCCCCCCTTTTTGGTCGTTCCAGACACAGGATTATTTTTTTTTCCCTTGATACAATAGCAGGCTTATTATCCCAACTCAAGAACTTTTATTTGAACATCAAGTACAATCACAAGGAAAAGAACCAACAATACAAAATGAAGTTAACCTGTAGAGAAACATTTCTGGCAGTAGTATATATCCAGTTAAAAACTAATAATAAAAGTGTGTGTTAGGCTTGGACACATTGGTTGCATCCTTGTAGCCCAAATCTGAAATAAGGGATCCTCCATCATACTCAAAAGATATCTTTTCTTTGATTCACTGACAATTGGCATTTTAACACCACCTTTTATGTCTCGCTTATGTTAGATGATGTGTTAAACCTTTTAGAATTTATACATTTCAAGCCATAGTTTTCCAACTGTTTTGGGATTTTATTCTAACAGTCATTTATTTTTATGCTCTAAAAATTGAGAGCTTTTAATCTAATACTTAAAACAAAAAAGAAATTTACTTAAGCCTAATGTGTTGTAACGTCTTTCAAAACATTTTGAAATCTTTACTAAATTTCTGTAGATAAAATAACTGCTCTTATTTCTATAAATGTTAAATTGAACTCATGAAAAAAAAAATCATCAGTTTAGTTTCTCTTGTAGATAAGGGCATTATAAATAGGATTTTTAAAGCACATCATTCAAACTGAGGGTGAAGGAGCAACTTGTCCCCCCCCCTTCACACACACATATAGCAGTGCTCAAAGTAAAAGGAATCTGATCAATTTAACATGGTCATAATGTTTGAGTTTAGATAAATGATTAGAACAATATTTCAAAAGATGTGTGGTTATATTTGAAATAATAATATATGGTAATGTATCAAATATTTTGTTTTGAAGCTTATCAAATATTAATTATGAAGGTAGATAATTATTGGATAAGACTTGTATCATTTAAAAAAAAAAAACATTGCTCGAACTTTGAAAATGATGGTTTGTGAAGAAGTTAAAACAAAATGGTGTTATGTAGAATAGCTAATGCCAACTTTATATGAGAAGAAATTTTCTATTCCAATGGCAGGGTGTAGGATAAAGTGTTGTATATTGAGTCATCATATTATTAATAATAATAATAAATAATAAAGCAGAAAATATTAAGCAAGAGTGAAAATATTTCAAGAATACTTTTTAAAATTCCATAGCAGGAAAAAAAAAAGTCTATTTAACCAATTGTAAGTCACAGTAACATTTGGGGTTTTGTTTGAAATCAATACAAAAACCCTTCCAAATACTAATTTTGTAAACTTGTCAGTATAAATCCATAAAAATTACCATCATCTGGGAAGCTTTGCAATATCCTTCATGGTTGATAATTCTATCTGGATTTGTATTTTCTATAATTTCAATGGATGTATTGATAAGATGTTTGCTTCATTAACTATGCAGTGTTTACCTCTGTAAGAAATTTTTTTTCCAGGGTTTTGATAAGGTTTTATTACCTATTATAACTTATTACTTATGGCATTTAAAGAAAAGGTAAAAAAAAAAAAAAATCTCCTTCCACTGACCGTAGTTTTTTAGTTTTAGAATATAATTGTGTGACATGACATTTTAAAAGCTGGACTTGTAGATCATTAATAGTGAATTCAGTCTACACCTGATGCCCTATTTATAGCCTTGTGCCAAATTTAAGACTTTTGCTTTCTTTCTTTTTTTTTTTTTAAACTTTAGTTATGGTCATTTCTGAAATCCAGATCACCCTTCTGAACTTCCATTGTGAGCTAATTTGTATAAACCTCTGTTGAACAGGACAATTACTATTAAGATCAACAGTTCTTTATTCTAACCAATTGGCAAGGTGAAAAGAAACATTTTGACAGAATCTAGATTAAGCTATTAGTGATGTCTAAACTTATTATAAGAAATTATTTCAACAATACTGAGAAAGTGATGTGAAATTGATTTTGTTTTTTAACCTGAAGAAATAAAACACTAGTTACAATTAATACCTTTTTAAAAAGGAAATTTTCCACCCCTGTCAGTTTTACAAGAAAAAAAAAAGGTGTGTAAGTAATGCATTTATTTTAAAGATGTTTTCTGTATGAATTTCGATGTAATTTTAATTTTGAAAGCATTCAACTATAAAAAGGAAAATTTTAAGTTTTGTTTTCTTAGCTAGAATATTTTTATTTTTTTTCTCCTTTCTAATCTTATAAAGTTTTTTTTTCAACTTCAATTTAAGAAACTGCTTCAAGTCAATCTCATTAGAAACAAAAGAATTAAAAGAAAAATTTCAAGTTTCTCTTTCTCTCCCCTTTATTTTTTATGCAAATGAAACAATTCTTTAAAATGTGAACAGGTGCAATTTTTCAAGGTAAGATATATTTTCTTTTTCTTATTACATTGTATTTCCTCTAAGACACTTTTTTGCCTGGAATGGAAAATTTCTTACAAAATATGATCTTCCAAATAAGTCGATGTCTGTGAACAGCCAATGTTATTAATATCCAACTCTTACTCTGGACCAAAGAGGACAGCCTGGTCAGTACAGATAAATCATTTTGGTAGCAGTAGATATGACTGCAGCAAGCCAACCTCTTTATTCTGATGGTCATTTAATTGAGCTAATTAGCTGGATTTGGATTATCTTTAAAGAGGCTACCAGGAGTTCCCCGCCCAACTCTTTTATGATTGAAAAATCTCATATCTTCATGAAAGATATATACATTCTCTTTATATTCTAATATTTGTCAAACTTCTTTGGAAAGCTATATCTTCCATGTAACCTATTCTTCCTCTTTCTCTTCCATCCATCCCCACTGGTATGTGAATGGATGGGAAGGTGGGACCCCCCCTCCTTTCCTTGATGTCAAATAATCCAAGTTGCAGTATTTCAAATAGAATATGCGTCTTGTCAATTCCCCAGACATGGTAAAGTGCAGGGAGTTTTAAACTTTTTCTTTGAAATGGCTATTTGCATGCTTGCAGCATCAGCAGCAATGTCCACTTAGGACGATAAAATACAAAAGACTAAATAACATGGAAAGGGAAGCCTGGGAATATTGGATTAATTCACAAATCCCAAACTGACCATTCCAAAAGAATTTAATGCTTCTCTTTGACTGGCTAACAGTCAGACAATTGAGAAAGAAGACAAATTACTAAGTGGATTGCTACTCCTTTTTTCATTTTTCTTTTTTTTTTTTTTTATCATAACTGTATTATGGACTGTGATATGTTTAACCCTAACCCCCACTGCCCCCTCTCCCTTGTTCACTTTGGAAACACTGTCTCTGAAAACATTTGTTCATTAAATGTCTGGGTCAGTCCAGGATATTCTCTAAAACAAAAACCCTGAAATTTAAATGTTAAAGATGACTATGTATACTCTAGATATATTAATATATCTACACATGCAAGTGTATATGTACAATTTTAACACTTGTTTTGACTGGGTAGTGTTTGTAATGGACAAAGTATAAAAAAAATTATAAAAGTTATTACTTTGCCCATTTCCAATCTTTCTTTTCTATTGTAAAATTCAGTTTTTCTGCTCACAGTGGGCATTGGATTTAGATGTGGAAAGGATTCACTCCTATCCCTTCCAGATTGATATTTTATTTTGTACTGGGCATTCATTTCAGTCAATATCAAATCTAAATTTTTAGGTATCTCCACCACCACCACAAAAAATATCCAATCTTTTGTCATTCCAAGCCTCTTCCCCCTCCCCCTCCCCTTTCTGGTGAAAGTTTTAATGGGTGGGTCAGGGTGAGTAAAATTAACATCCAAATAACGAATAATTACAAAGAAAAATAACTTCATTATTGAGCTAATTAATGTTCACTTTCTTTTGCAAATACACCTGATTTTTTTTTTTTTTTTTTAATTTTAAAAAA